GGCGCGGAGAGCCGCACCTGCCTTCTGAGCGCGCCGGAGACTCCCGGGACCCGCTCCCGTGCGCCCCTTGGGGATTGACCTCCCCTCAAACGCGGGCGAGACGCGGAGGAAACTTATTGCACCTCTTTCTCAGAAATGGGTCTTTTCCTGTTTGGGAAGAAAAGTCTTCCCCAAATCTAAGGGCGGTGGGCTTCACACACACACGCAGAAGAGGTGGTTTTCAAAATAACTCACGGTGTTGGAGATTTATGAACCTAGTGGAAGTTTAGTTAACGAGGGAAACCCAGTAAGGGACCAGCAGATTCTAAATACTGCTTTGCTTAACCCCCCTTCTCATGAACCCGAGTATAAACCAAATGCCTAGTAGGCACTTCATAGATATCCATCAATTGTTGGTGATAAATAGATCACAATCCTTATTTTTGAAGTTAAGGAAAACGGGGGTGAGGGGGGCGGGGGGGACGGAGGTGGGGAGCCTTGCTGGTCTATCCATCCCGTTGTGGAGGATGAGAGGCCGAATTCCTTAGGGCCCTCAAAAGCAATGGAAGTAATTGCAAAATTCGCAATCTCACAGCCGCTGGAGAGTAAGAAAGGTCACTTCCAGTATAAATCAAGTTTTGAGGAATGCTTTTAGGGTACTAGCCTGGAAGTCTCTTTCCACGGCCCAAGCGCAGCCTAGATGCTTGAATACCTAGTCATTCAACTTTATCTTCTGTGCCAAATAGGTTCAATAAATCTCTGATCTGGGGCTAATATTAGGTCTGATTATTATTATTAAGTTCCAGGGAGATTTTTCTGGTGGAAATTATCATGAAAGTGCAAAGCCCTTCTGCAAAGTGTCATTAAGTAAAACCAGCCTGTGGGACAAGTTTTCATATCGTATTAACACTCAGTACTGCTAGATAGAGAAAAGGAACCTGCAGGAGAATCTGGCTAGACAATGCAGACGTTAAGCATCTGTGGTTTTTGTGTCTGAGTGGAGACTTCTGTCCTTCAAACCATCCAAACCAAGCTGCAAAAGAAACAGTAATCATTGCCTATAACATCGAGCAGAGGACATTTTAAATACCTACTTGAATACTCATTCCTTTATACTTCTAGCACCAAAATTAAATTAATTTTATTGATTGGTATTTAAACTTGCATTTTTATGATCAAGTGCTCGTGCAAAAAACAGTTTTTTAAATCATTAAAACTACAGTAGTAATTGAAATGTCCTGTACAGCAAGCAGCTGCAGATGGGTGTGATTAAAGAAGGCCAACTTAAAGATGTAATATTCCTTGAAGGTTAGTAAGGAAAACTAAGTTAAACCAAATGAGGAAAGGAACCCCATAAACAAATAATGCACACATTTTAATTCCCTGGTTCAGTGTTAATTCATTAATAATGTATAATAGTCAAAAAGAGATGACACAAGATCTTACCTTATGATTTGACATGTACAAGTAAATTTCCTTCTCCAGGCCTTAATTTTGTCATCTACAAGTTATGGAATTAAGCAAAATGGTCTTACTTTCTCCTTTTTAAATAATCATTTTCTTAAATAGAAAACATAGTACATTGTTCTGTGATGGTGTGGTACTTTAAGTACTTCCTGAAGTATTAATGCTAAAATAAAATCTTTAAAAGGACATGTTGGAAATTTAACCAGGCACATGTTCAGATATCACCAAGTGACTCTCCAGAAGGATCCACGTAGTTTCTATGAAAGGAAAGGAGAGAACAAGAGAATGATGGATAAAACTTTGACTATAGAACTCTAGTCTAGAAAGGGCCTCGCAGGTGGTTTTGGTGTTAGTACTCTTCTATGTGTAGTGAGGTCTTTACATATGTCCTGGTAGATTAGCGTGGGT